GAAATACCGCTCTACATCTGCTTCGTCGACTTGAACAAGGCGTATGATTCGGTGAACCGAGAGATGCNGCTCAATATCTTCTTTGCCGAGGTTGAGGTCGTTGTCATCCGATTCAGCGAGGATTATTTTGTTCTGCGGAGCCTGGTGTGCTTGGAGGAGGGGAAGACGGAAGCAGGGGGGTGGGGAGGAGACACCCCTTGACCGAGTACGGAGGGCAGTATGAGGGATGCTGTCTGCCGATGATGCCGGCGTCGTATCGAGGTCTGCAGAAGGACTGGCGAGAATGATGACCATCATCGTTGAGGTGTTCGGGGAGTTCGGGCTAACGGTGTCGGAGAAGAAGACGGAGACGCTCCTGATGCGCGCAAAGGACAAGCCGACTACAACATCACAGCCCGCCCCGCCTCCACCACTGACCATCGAAGCCGCGGGACAGAAATACGCCCAGACGACCGAGTTCCGGTACCTCGGTGGCCTCGTCAACGAACATGGCGACCTCACCCGGGAGATCAACTACAGGAGCAGAGGAGCGTGGGCGTGCCTCAGGCGATATGGCCGGGAGCTCCTCTACAGACCGAAAGCGCCATTCCGACTCAAGATCCGCCTGCTCCAGGCGGAGGCGATGGAGGCACTGCTGTACGGCTGCATGACATGGTCACCACTCAGCGGCCACTATCAGACGCTGCGGTCGATACACCATCGACTGCTCCTTCGAGTTATCGGGTACAAGCGCAAGAAAGACCCCTACCGGCAGCTGTCTTACGCCCAGACGCTGAAGAGGGTCGAATGCCAGAGCGTTGAAGCCACGATCCGACAACGGCGCCTACTGTTCGCGGGAGCATTGGCAAGGCAGCCGGACAGGAGACTCCCGAAACGACTGATGCTCGGCGAGCTGGCTGGGGGGGAGAAGCGACGTAGGGAGGACAGGAACAGAACTGGCCGAAGTGTGTGCTTGACGACCTGAAGGCCTTCGGGGCCGACCACGGATCTACGAAAACCGATCCATGTTGCCTTGGATCCCGGTACCGAAAGACACGGCCCCGAAGTTAAAGTGGACGAAAGCCGCGAACGTGGAGGGGGGAGTACCCTGGCATGCGGCGGTGATGCAGGGAGCTGAGAGATTCATGACCTCCTGGCACGAGAACGAAGAAGAGGCCAGCCGACAACGGGCGCTCAAACGAAACCACAAGCCAACAACCAATGGGGCGGGAGGGGGGCAGGAGACGGACGATGCGGCGAGGGACGAAAGCAAACGAGAAGAGACGGACCGAGTGGCGCGATACGTGCCGGATTGAATTTCTTTAAGCCTATTCCCCCCCTCCTCCCGCCCCGGTGTTTGCCATCGGGGTTGGGTTTTCGTCGCTTGGCAACGACGTTGTAAAACAAGCCATTCACTGAACTAACTCGCCAACCAGGTTACCGGTTTTAATTTTATGTCTGTTTTTTTTTGGAGGTAACCATAATGGTGGTCGAGTAGATCATGTTGTGCGGGGTGGAGCACTCTCACTCCGCGCAAGGGGGATGACCGCACCACGTTGTGTAAAATGGTCAAGCACACTCGAGGCAGTTACACAGTGCTAACAACTGTTTCTGGGAGTGAACGCACCAGAAAATTAAGTAAGTCATACGCAGCTGTCATCCGTACGCAAGGAAGTAAGCACAAGATGCCGAACACCCTTAGCAGGATGCAGCGCACCCTTCATGCGACNGACGTTGTAAAACAAGCCGCCCCCCCCGGTGTTTGCCATCGGGGTTGGGTTTTCGTCGCTTGGCAACGACGTTGTAAAACAAGCCGCCCCCCCCGGTGTTTGCCATCGGGGTTGGGTTTTCGTCGCTTGGCAACGACGTTGTAAAACAAGCCAATTCACTTCGTGAACTCGGCCACCAGGTTACCGTTTTTATTGTTACCTCTTTCTTTTTTTTTACCTCATTTTCTTTTTTTGCGGTAGCCATAATGGTGGTCGAGTAGATCATGTTGTGCGGGGTG